GTTTTTGTACAGATATGCATTGAAATCGCGTTTCTAAAATAAATATAAACAAAAGATTACACGTTTAAGCTGGATTAATTGATTTTTAAGCATTGACCGAATTTGGGGTATGTTGGTTTGCGTGGTGGCCATGCCTTACTGTTTTCAAACTTTTGCTAGCACATGTAACTCTATATGCTGATTTATGTAACAGCATGTAGTCTAGTCCCTGTACTGTTAAAGGAATATCAAATAGATAACAATAGGTGTATATGTACACTTCTTTTTAATCAATTGCATTTATGCAACATCGTGTTATGAGACATTGTAAAACGCCAAACGTTTCAAATTATCAATTGACATCATACTAAAAACTACAGTGTACCCAATACGTCATAAATTTTGCGTATGTGACAGGTTTTTTTTTTCAATGTAGCCTGTCCTCCAGTCACGTTACTTATTGGCATATAATTTTACCCGTAAAGACTTTATAGGGAGAAACTATAAGTAAGTAAATAAGTACTAGGTATGTGTTCTTTTCCAAAACAACATTTCTTGAACGATATCAGATTCGACCACAATATGTAGAAAGATAACGATCTAAGATCATAAGAAATAAAGAAAGAAAAAAAGGAGTGTTTGCAATATGGAAATGCATATGTGCTTTCAAACTGAGACCACAGTGTCTGACAGATCTGTTTTATATTTGGATAATAAATGGAGAAAGATATTTTTATTAATGACAACTTTATGATAAACTTGATTACTTCAACTTGTTCTTTTTTCAACTTCTCATATTTATGTAACAATTTGTAACCATATGCCATTATCACCTGTAGATGGTGTTTATGTATACATTAACGTTTTGTAATTCAAAGAATTCAAAACCATCTGTAACAAGAGATTGTGATAGAATTTTGTTTTTGAATTGCAAAAATGTTTTCCAGTTGATTCGATACGCAAGAGCATGTGCTGCGTACGAATAATTTGTTAATCAAGGCAAGCTACTGACAAAAATGTTGATTTTACAAGATTATCAACAACCTCGTTTACAGTCAACATTTCGCAAAAATCTAAGGTCGATACAATGACCTAGTTTGCAAAAATAAGCTGCCATTAGGTCGAATGTTGACTGCCGTATTTAATACAAATTGTTAGGCCATTATTTGAACTGTCTACAGATTATTTGATTTGAGATTATTTGAATTATTTGGATTTCTCCGTTTGTCAGATCAAGACAAAGGGCTCCGGTCGACAGGAGATACTTAATCCTCCATGGCACCTGATCCCACCTCTGATGTTTTCATTGATTTGTGTTTGCTCTGCTCTCAGTTTGTATTGTTTAGCTGGACTTCTGAACACGATTATTGTTTGCAATCTTCACATTTCATAATGCTGTCAACTGTAAATAAACTGTAGCTAGATAGGAAGACACTTCCTGAAAGTGTAATGTTTCTGAAAGTGTAATGTTAAGTCGTATAGCATAGGGTTTATGTAGAAGTGGGTGTGTATGATTAAGCAAAACCCGTCTGGCACACTTTTACAGATTAAGTTGTACAAGTGCATGGGCCTCAACTACATGAAAATTTGGTCAACAATAGACTACATCAAAGCGAATAATTCTGGTTGCCAAGTAATCGGTAATGTACTTTTGAAATGCAACCCTTTTGCACATTTGTATGATTTCAATAAACCTTGGTAGAAATTTAGAGAACATCAAGATACTAAAAGTTAGATCTGTAATTTTCTTTATCAGAATTTGGCTTCAATGAACAAGATTGCTTTGGGTTCTGAAATTAGAAAAAGCCTAAAATTTACTCATCCTCCAGTTTATGGTCTTATCTTGCTATAACCTATTATAAAAGTAGACTATATGTACTTTTATACATCAAAAATACATAATTCTGTAGTGAAGAAAATTAATTATAAATTCAGAGTAGATTTCCTCATGCCACATCAGATTACAAAAGACTTCTTTGGCTAATTTCTCTCTTTGCATTGCAGAATTCTTGGGAAAACATTCCTACAAGGATACATAATTCCTGTTTAGTTTGTTTCTATTGCCTATTCTGTTTTAATGTATCCTTTACATAAAAAATAAAACAGTGGATACTACATAATGTACCAACATTACCTACAGAAACTTTTGGTCTTTCGTTCTGGTTTTGTTTTGTTTGTGTCTTCTATTGGGGTAGAGGAAGGATGCGCGTAAATATTTTCGGTACAATGCCCTTTCCACAATCTCAGACTGTGCACACCCTAGCTCCCCCAACCTCCAAAAATAAATTTCCTTCTGAGAATCACTCATACTCGCCTGTTTTAGTTTTCTACATTAGTCGCATGTACTGTTGTTTTCAGATTTTACTTATACATCGCACTTCTATCCTTCACAATCTTCAAGGTTTGGGGATAAAAAAAAAATCACACAACTTGTTGGAGTCGCCGCCCATGTGGCGCAGTGGTTAGAGCATTTGCTCTAGAGTCGTGGTGTAAGGAGTTGATCCTTACGTCGCGGGTTCGAATCTCACTGCGGGATGTGGAGACCAGTCCTTCGGATGGAACCGTATAAACCGATGTCCCGTGTCGCAGTTAGTGCTAGCACGAAAAAGATCCTTCACTACTCAATGGCTCTGAGTGCTGAGTATGTGTCTAAATTTGCAGCCCTCCACCGGGAAGTGGTGGCGTCTCTATATGAGTGAAAAATTGAGGGACGTTAAGCAACAAACAAATAAACGAAACACAACTTGCCGGATAAAAGTCATATCCAACCACAGGCCATGGGAGATCAAATGGTATTAAACATAAGACAGCCACGTTTTAAAAGTCACAATAAAAACAATTCCTGCACCAGATCATAAAAAAGTAGAAAAGGGAATTATTGGTCTTCCTTAGAAAGCCTTGGTAGCTATAGAAAATGCTGAACATGTATGTGTCGGTCTCTGAAATAATCAAAGATTTGTATGATGGTACATGAAAGTCTTTCTTTCTTCCTTTGAACCACCTAGTTCAGCTTATATTTAAAAATGGCATCAGTTTGATTGAAAAAAAAAAAGTATCAAGCAATGACACACACACACACACACACACACCCTCACACACACTCTCACAACTGTATATGTATAACTATGAGGGTATCCTTGATCCTTTTTCATGGACTTTTGGGTTCTACTCATTCTTGTGCTATTCTGTGAAAAGAAATTGTTTGCTTAGGGAACAATACAACAAAAGAGAGAAGAAAAATCTTTTTATAAAATGTTACCTTAAGACAAAGCGTATATATATAACGAAAACTGATAGTTAACTTTTTGTTATAGAATGGTCACACTGAAAGAAAGATTTAAGATTTAAAATTTAAAATTAAAATTTTAAAAATTTACCATTAGATTAAAAAAAAAATTAAAAGTCCTCATCTTAGCCAGAAATCAAGTTCAAATTTCTAACTGCATAAACAATACCCAAGAATACGGATTGACTTTAGTTACATAATACCTAAGCAATTACCGCAATTAATGTAGCCCAGTAAATATACCAGCAAGAGCTCGTAAAAAATACATTTCACTAATGATGATGTTACGGGAGGCTAATGGAACATCGCTGGTTAATATAAGGTCTTCATTTCAGAGGAAATGAATATAAATATGTTTTCTTAATATGCTTGTATAAGTCGATCTGGGTTAAGAAGGTAAGTGAGAATTGTCATTCTGAAAGAAAAATTATTTCTTAATTTCTGCTGATTTCTATGATTTATTTCTCCATTGATCGATATTCTGACCTTTTCGGTAATGAACGTTGTCCCACTGGGGAAATTCTTTTAATGTTTCCATGTAAACATACTAGATCACCAAAGAAACTGATAAGCTAATTACAAGAAAAAATCCCTATGCAATTTTGTTTTTTAAATCTTAATATGACGATGCAACATTTTATGTAGAGGACATTCGTCTGTTGAAATAGTGTGATAGTAGATGCAGTATTTTTGTTTTCTCGTAAGAAGAACAGATGTTTTTTAAACATTGGTTCCTCCGATTTACGCTCATGAAATATACAAAGATTTGTTGATTTAATGAGAAGTATAGTTGTGTTTACAGACAAAGCCTAACTGTTGGTTCAGGAAGGTAAACATTCACTTAATCTACTCACTGTCTTTCGTCAGTTTGCAGAAAGTGCGCCATTGCTTTCAATATCTAAACAACATGGTTACAATGAATTCTGGATTTATCGCAGTTCCTAACAGGCAGAACTTTGTACAATTTATAGAGTTTACTTTTAGGAAACATTGTCTTTTTAGCTTACTTCTCAAGAATTTTGTCCTTCATTTTTAGAAGAAAAGCGCATTATAAAGTCATTGTTAAATACATTTTGTAAATATTTGTTTACTTATATTGAATAATATTTCAAAATTTTGGTAAATACGTATTTATTGGAACAGTATTTTGCTTAGTGAAGTGCCTATATGAGAATTACGTAATTCTTAAGCCTGCCTTTGCAAACTGTTTGTTTAAATGTGTGAATGCAAAAGCGTGCGATAGCACTGATTTATGTTCACGTGTGAATCTCTGTGTGTTTTTAAAAAGCAAAATTAATAAATACACTTTAAACCCTGGCACTAGTCCTTACTGCAAAGGTCTTTCAATTTCAAAGCGAGAACAATTACTGTATTGAAGTGCTATAATTCAAATATTTTTAAAGCTATAAAAATGACATTTTCACTTCATACCTCTCATGAAAACAGATAATACACACAGTTTTCATGTCTTTTATTCTTAAGACCCATACACCCTTTCCAACGTACATATTTTCATATCATTGCCAAGTCCCAATATGGCCGCTGTGGTACATTGAAACATTATTACAGGCAATATATCCTTGTAAAAAATGTAACGGACCTATTTTTTCTTGCAATTTCTTGGAAACGATTAATTGTAGCCTGGGCAACAAATGACCTTTAACTAATTTGTCGTCCCCTGGTAACTTGAAATAATAACCACAATTTTTTTCTTGCAGGTAAACGATAAGGCAACGATTTTTGATAGTCACCTGTAGAAGTTCCCAAATTTTTCACTTCACAAACAATAGGGTGATACGGCATCCATGATGGAGTTAAAAACAGGAAATGCAGTTGACCATATCAGTTTGGGAGCGGAATATCACCCAGGACATGTTTTCATTCAAAGTTACATGTATGTGTCCGGTTGAGTAGATTACTTGGTCCGTGTTGAAAATTGTGAAAATAAATATTATAAGTAAGCTTGACTGTGATTGAATATGGTGGATTAATCTTTATCAGAACGAGGTAGGTTCATTCATCTTTTTTCACCTAATCAGCTGATTATTATGAATATGTTTTATATGCTTTGACAATTTAACAAAATTAAGGGCGCTTTTATGGTTTTAAAACTTAAATATTAATTCAATTCGTCGATTTTTATTAATTAGTTTAATGAAATAAATTAAAAGGAATTAAAATGTTCACTTTTCCATATTGTTTGTGAGATTTTTCATGCTATTTAAAGGTTTAAATTTGGCATGTGCAATATCCTCGGGTATGTTATAAATTCATAATAAAAGTACAGTGGATATATAAGTTTGGGTATAAATCTAATGTCACTCTTTCATGTAGACCGAATTTAAGGTCATTTTCTTATTATCAAATTTATTAAAGTCTTTGTGTTCACATGCGGAATTGGGGAGAAATGTAATGAAATTCATCTTTCAATTTATCTACCTTCCGCTTATGCGATTTGAAAGCACATCAATAATTCGTCTGTTATAGCCACTGTCTGAGGAAAACGTAACTTTAAACTCTATCACAGTGGACTCAAGAAAGAAAACAAAAAATGATCAAAATAAATAAGCCAGCGTTTGAATCATATTTTTACTCCAACTTTCATGAATAACTAACGTTAAGATTTAGTAATGCATACTTAATGAAAATCTGCCCATTTCGGACCAATAACACACTCATCCAACGGAATCCCAACGGAGGTATCAACCCGCTAGAAAGCAAGCATTTTCTAAAACGTTAACTGTATTGTTCACGGAGGCGAAAGGATAAAGAATAGGTCTCTCTCATGCGGAATGAAAGTTAGTCTTAGATCTCCTTGGCAATCAACAAACGATATACCGAGGGCACGATGGTCATTTATATTCTTTGTTAGAAGTACCTCTAATAAGAAGTTTCTGAGGACGCCTGCATGGCCCATATAATGGATCGACATTATATAAAAACGTGAAAATATCCTGCTTTAGTTCTAGGCAAAGCTCTTTAAATGACTTCATCTACCCACTGTAATACTTGTTAGATATGACGTCAGAAGAGGCTTAAGGATTGGGATTCCTTTATTCAGTTTGTAAATGTAACTGCTACGACAACCTTACTTCTCCCACATTTCAATGTGGTATGATGTGCTCTGCATTTATAATTTGTCGATTAAATGTCAGCCTTTCAGTTTAATTATCAAGGTTTCTACTTCATTCATTGAAAGGAACACGGGTGGATAAGATGTCAGAAATGCCTATAGCTTCGAGTGTTTAAAAATCTAATTCAGTTTAGAACAATGTTCTCATTATAACTGGGTATGAAATTATGAAAAACAATAAATTCTCTTGGCATTATTTCTATTATATTAAAAAAAAGTGCATGTGTGGTTTCTTTGAGGATTCAACTCAACCGATAAAAATCCTGAGACATGCACCGTTTTCTCATTGAGACCGGCGCGTTAACGATGTTTTCTAACGTAAACCACGATAACCACACAACTCATAACAGTTGTTGGCATATAAATCTTGTCTCTGATGTGACCATTGAATAAATGGACTTCATATATTTCTAGGAAAGATACGAATATTGTGTCATAAAAGTACACTAACAGTGGGTTTACTCCATGTTTGTTTTTAATTAAAGAATCTTTTTATTTAACTCTTAATTTAAAGATATACTTTCCAAAAAAAAATTAATTAATTAAAAATTAAAAAAAAAAAAATTGAAGCGAAGGATCACTCATGGAAAAAAATTGTTTATATATGAGGAAATGGTCATTTTTGCCCTCTTTGCATTTTATGTGTGCATTCTATTTCATTGACAAATACTAGTAATTTCAATAATTATGAGATTGTAGCAAATGTTGTAGAGATTTTACATGTATAATTGTACATTAATATTATGCTTTCATATAAATTAACTGATTCTAATTCGTTGATAAACTTTTGTTAAAATCACTATTTTTCTCTGAATGATGAAACCATGCCCCCCAGCGTGACAGAACGTAGCAATAATCAACATGGTTTATATTCGAAAAAAATATTGACTGTGTAAAATTTATGCGCGCACGATTCAATATTTAATGTATTTGTTATAAACAAAAAAAAAACTAAACTAAACTAAACTAAACAAAACAAAACTAAAAAAAAAAACAAAACACTCAGTATGATATAAGAAATATTGCATGTAATAAGTGCTACATGCAATATCTATATAAACAGCATGTACATGTAATGGTAATTGATATATCAAAGAATATTTCGTGATGACTGAGATTTCATTTTTCACTTTGTTTTGGTTGATGAGTATTTTTCTGGGTTTTGTTCGTCCATGTTCTTTAGGAAGCAGGAGGTTTTCAGTTCCTTATGTCCATAATTAATCAGTATGCCGTTCAGCTCGAGAACTGCAGCGAATATTTCCTTGTTTACATACAGAACCATCTATTATATGCATAGGTATAATGTCTTTGTTGTAAATAGTACACTGCATGTCCAATTAAGGGAGCCGACTGGGGTTTTATTGCGTGAAAACTACTATAGAGAAACTCTGTAATTTTATACCATATGTACCACCGTCTGGTTATTTTTTAGGGACCATCTCAAAATACAGTACATTTACTATAGGATTATATAGGAAAATACCATTTTTTCGCACTTCGGAGCAAATTATACAAATGCTACTAAAGACTATTGCTCAAATTATATTATTTGATGGTAATACTTTATTGTAAATTTTGTGCAAGAAACACAAAATTCTACCGTCTGGTTTCCAGAGGGGGCATCTCAAAATGTCAAAATTCATGATATTTTCCTGTTTTTATGGAGTGCAACAAAACATGACACATACCACAGATTTACATAAAAATAATAAAAATGATTGATAAATTCTCAATTTCCTATGTTTAAAATTTCAAGAGCATGTATTTTATACTCTTTATTTTATGGCATAATTAATGACCCCGCTTAAAGAACTTCGGTTATTCATAACATCAGAAACTCACTATAACGACGTCAATCTACCCATCATTTAAAAAATCGTTTAAAAATCAGTTATTTAAAAACGTAATTAGATTTTTTTAACCTGAGATTTCCTAATTTTGTTAATTTTTATAAATTATGTAAAAAATAATTGCTTTAAAAGAGTAAATACGCTTTATTTTACTATATATGCTGCGCGAAGTATTGCGCAATTAAAACCCCAGTCGGTCCCCTTAAATGGGAACGTCAAGGTCGAGCTAATTAGTAGGGTCCACGTCTGTTTTATTTTGGGAAAGAACGAAGTGCACCATTAGCACCTGAGCTCAAAGGCCTATATTATATATACATGTACTGGCTCGTTATTACGTTGTATCAGGTAGTAAAGACCTAAACCTATAATTGTACTATTTGTCTATCCTCATACTCACGCATGCCATATATGTGTTTTTATTTTTCATCATTGTAGTTTACATTTATATCTCGCTATACAATTGTAAAATTGTGAAGAGATCAATAAATTCAGTTCAGGTAGCAGAAGGAGTTACATACCCGATAGGTATGCTACTCTAGATTATAGTTCACAGGTATACATGGTAATTAATCACTTTGTTGTAAGCCTTTTGAAATAGCAGGGTTATTTCCAATTTTCTTCTTAGATCAGCTCAACAATCTATTTACAAATGTAAGATGTTATGACATTTATGACGGAAATTCGAAAATAAAAATGTTTTATCGTATGATTCTGCAAAAAACTAATTTATTAGACAATGTTTCTAAGTAATGTGTATGAACCCAACCCTGCAGTGTTTACACGTTATATATTATTGATTAATACAAGTTATTTGTTTTTTCTGTAATGGAAAAGAATTATAAGGTCCATCTACCAAATTTGTGGGGAAAAATACTTTTGTGATTACATTTACGAAACGGATTTTTTCGAATTTATGAAATAAATCCAAATCTTTCATCAAATTCCGAATAAAAGTATTAACTGATGAAATCAAGAGGGGCAGACCATAAAAAAGACTGATTTGAAAATCGGTGCAATTCCTCAAAAGTATATCACAGACCTGCTACCAACGATGAATGCGTATCTTTCCCCCCGGGAGACGCGATATCAACGTCATAACTTCGAATTCAATTGTAAATGCCTTAAATTCTATGTAATGTAGCATTCAAGTTGCGTATTCCTAACTATTTCAACTTTATGCACACAGATATCTTTTTAAAACATTAAAATTTTCAATTTATTTTACCCAAATAACAAGTCTGCTTTAACAGTATATCTTTTTTGTCGTTAAAATGTAGCATTGCTAATAGTCAGCAAGGCATTGCCTGTACATAGATATCAATCATACGCTGGTTAATTCTCTATTTATGATATTAAACACAAATAAAAATAACAAATACATGTAGATTCATAAAGTATCGTTTTTAAACAAATTATTTCCTCAATCCCATTAAAAGAAAAATATTATACGTAAGACATCGATAACAAATGCCTCTGTATCGAAACAAATCAAATCTACATTCACTTAGTTACTTACGGGTATATACGACATGCTTTGGTTATTGCTACACATTTTACAATATCTGTAAATTCATTAATTTCTGACAAGATGATATTTTTTTCTGACAAAAGATATTTGTAATTCTTAAAAACATCTTTTAATTAAGCTAGAATAATGCATTTTCCCCCACACCATTAGCTTTTAATAGAGTGGCCCAACCAAGTCAATAAAACTTTGAGCTGCCTTCACTGTGTACTTTTCACAAAATTGTTTCTAGATTAATCTTTAACGTCGGCAAATTCCGATTTATTGATACACAGATAATAGAGCTCTGACTAAAGATGTAAATAAAAAGAGGATTCACTGTATTTACTTAGCACTAATTCATTTTTATATGAAGTATTGATATATGATTCTCTGTATAAGTAGGTTTTAATGTAGTTTGCTTTCTATTTAACTATAGGCGGAGACCTGCGCAAGCGCAGATGCGACTGCAGTCTCAGAGCAGCTGCAAAGTATGTTCGAAAGATGCAACGTGCATTTG